ACAAAGGTAGGTTGTTACAAATGGCAGCAATTTTTTTACCGCCTTGTCATGTGCAATTTTGAAAGCCTTTGCAGCCTTTGACAACCAAAAAGACGACAAATTTGCTTTGGTCTCAAATTGAATACAGTATTGGATGGAAGTTCAAGAATTGCCTCTGCCAAACCTGGAGGTTCTTCTGGTATGTTAGTAATTTCAGATTTAAAAGGATCTACATGCCAATTCACAGTTTCTACATCAAGATCTGAAAAGTAGTCAGAGAACCGCTCTATGAGTTTGGTAAGATGAAATTAGAAAAATTTCCCTATTACCCAAAAAAAATTCATTTTTACCCCATTTTGGGTAATTTACCCCGGTTCCCCGACCGCTATATTATAGCTGGATAATGTTTGTTAAGTTCTTAGCTGTACATAAATAGCAAATGGTAAATGAGAGGACGAACATAACAGAAGCTGAGATGAGCAAAGAGCATCCACTAGAAATTAGAGAACGCGTTGTACCTTGAGGACCATAACGCTAACGGTGACTGCAGCAACCGGCACCAAATTACTCTCAATCCACTCTTCTCCCGCCCTCAGACATCCCCTCTCGAAGATATGTCTTTCTCCCGGCTGCAGTCCAGAAAAAGGTTCAACAAGAAAACGTCTTTACGACCGAAATTACGGAGTTTGGGTTTTTGGGACGAGGAAATTTAGCATTTAATATGAACTGTAACTTACGAATCCCGGTTTCCTCACGTCGTAGCCGCACTGCTTGTTCTTGATTAGTTCCTGGAATTAGACAAGATTCTCAACCCGAGTTATCTATATTTCGCTGAAATCAACTGTTCCGCCCTTCCCGGAGGAGCGTTCAGTTTAATTAATTCCAGTTTGCTTACATTCGGTTTGCGTTTGCAGCAGGAGAACGGCACACCGCAGGCCTCCCGACTGCCGACGTCGTGCGAGGAGCAATTAAAGTAGTTGTTCCTATCCCAGTCCTTCGGCCCTTCGATTCCGCAACACTGCAACTGCACAAGATATTATATAATTAAAGAAACGCTTTCATCAATTAGAAACGTACCCAATCCTCCTGGATCCAATCTATGAGGTTCTGCTGATCCGGATCTTCGCGGTAATGGATTATGAACGTTTGGAAGCCGATGGTTGCTTGAGATTTTATCTAAAAACATTCGTTAATAACAATGTTAAATGCTCAGAAATTAACGCTGAGACAAACCCAATCTTTGAAGATGAATCCCATGATGCCTGCAGTCATCTCGAACAGCAACAGTATTGCAAGGAAAAGGGCGTACTGCAAGGAAAATAAGTAAATTTTTTGCTCTGTATTTATGTTTGAGACTACTCACAGTGGCTAAAAGACAGGTATTCTCGCGTAGGGCGCCCACGCAACCAGTAAATCCGATTATGAACGTCAAAGTTCCTGCAAATACAACGAGAAAACAAAGGGGATGTAACATCAAAAAGGGATTTTCGTGCATTGTATTCGCCCGTATCGATTTGCATGCACACAAACAGATTCAGTCATAGAAATTCAATGGAACGACAGCTCACCGATGCACATTAGGATGAACGCAGGGTCAAGGGCGATGTTCGCCACCTTCGTGATGTTGTTGAATATATCTTTCTCCGTCCATGCCCACACGCCGATCGTCAAAATGCCCAATCCGAGCCACTGCGAAGAACAATTACACAATTAGTATGCATTAAATGAATCGTATTCAATACACGAGTTTCGAGAGAACAAAAAATAAAATCCGTTGCTATTCAAATTATGGATGGATCAACTCCGGAAATAGTTTATTTTCTACGCACCCTTTTCTTTTTCCTCTCTCTCGCAACATTGCTGAAATTGGCTTTCATTAGTCAATTCATTCAATTGACCCAACGTCAATATACATATTAATTAATCGAAGAATGTTAATTTATTTAACCTTAGATAATCTGCAATTAATTTATGTATTATTGATATATAATAGCAAGAAAAAACATTATTTCTTGGTAACAATCATAGGTGAATCATGGTGAAAGTCGTGCATCGATTTTCTTCAAGAAAACACAGTTAATTTTTCTTCATAAACGAGTGAAATGAAAGAAAATAGCATTGTGGAAGTTTACATGTTTAATGAAGCTTCGCATATTCAACATGTAAATTATTTATAGATTCTCAACAAACAACATCCACTCTTGTGTACACACATTTCTTTATTACATTTGCATTTACAAAATTTGTGGTTTTCTATATTTAATAACATTATATTCAAAATTAGTTGAAATCAAATTATTAATTAAATTTTGAAATCGGATTCTAGTGAATCCGGACTGATCGAAGCAGCCCTATGCGAGATATTGATGTACAAACATAGTTATATTGAGTTCTTTTTGTATCGATGTTAGAAAGCTGCACTGATTTTAATTCAAGAAAGCAGATCGTACAGAATGCATATATTTAACAACAAGAAACCATCTAAATTGTTAATATATTTTGTGCACAAGTTATTATTTTTGATCATCATTTTGTAGAAATACGAAGCATGAAGTTTTTTTTAAGTGCATTTGAAAGCTACACTCATTTAAATTCAAGAAAGCAGATTGATGAGAACAAACATAAGAATCTCTTCTCTTTATTTCAAGCAAAGCTTTTTCTAATCTATCTTGTGATTTTACTTTAGACATAAGTTTTGTAATGAATTATTGTTGGAAAACTGCATTTACAAATTTTCAACTTTGTAATTAGGAATAATATAGAAAAGCTGAATCGATTCATTTGATTAATTCTATGATTAAAAATATATATGACGTAATTTTTTTAACTACTTTTTTTTTTGGAAATTCCAATTTAACAAAATGTTAATTAATAAAATTAAACAGTAAATTTGTTGAAAACATCATTTGTGACCTTGATATTATGTTTGGGGACAAAAACCAGTTCTTCAATTATTCCGCTCTTTCGACTGTACACCGAAAATTATAAACATTAACATGTTCTTCTCTTCTCTTATGCTTTGTATGTCGTGCTAACAGTTTGCTTCCGTTGTAAAATCCAATTAACAAAGCCTTTTTTTTTCTTATAATCTTTGCCAAATCTGGAACCGTGACAAGCTCTAAATATTTTTTGTTGAAATATGTATCTAAATATGAGGAAATGTTACTGAAATATGTAAACGTATGAAGAAATTAAGGTCAATATTTATGAAAATACGTAAAACACCGAAATCCCGACAACCATAATCCCGACTGTATCAGAATCCCGACTATATTAAAATCCAACAATTCCAACAGTTAATAATCTAATTGCATTTGAGATTATTTCATAATGTTAAGGTTTATTATGAATAATTCAAGAAAATCAAATAAATTAATAATACTACGCTCAGAAATAAACAAAAAATGTTATCGTAGTAATTTTAGATATAGTCGGGATTTTGATGCAGTCCGGATTGTCATGATTATGATTGTCGAGATTCTGATACAGTCATGATTATGACTGTTGAAATTTTGATACAGTCGGGATTATGATTGTCGGGATTCTGTTTGCTCTCGGACTTGGATTAATGTTATTGTAAAATTTTTTGATATAGTCGGGATTTTGATACAGTCGGGATTATGGTTGTCGAGATTCTGATATAGTCGTGATTATGGTTGTCGAAATTCTGATACAGTCGGGATTATAGTTGTTGAGTTTCTGATACAGTCGTGATTATAGTTGTCGAGATTCTGATACAGTCGTGATTATGGTTGTTGAGTTTCTGATACAGTCGTGATTATAGTTGTCGAGATTTCCATACAGTCGGGATTATGTTTGTTGGGATTATGGTTGTCGAGATTCTGATACAGTCGTGATTATGGTTGTTGAGATTCTGATACAGTCGGAATTATGCTTGTCGGGATTTCGATACAGTCATGATTATGGTTGTCAAAATTCTGATACAGTCGAGATTATGGTTGTCGGGATTTCGATAGACGGTATTTCGGTTGTCGGGCTTGCGATATTGACCCATAAAACATATAGGAAAGTAAAATATTGTTGTTGTATTTGTTAATTATTTCAAGACTACTGAATTAAGTAAGAAATATGTAGAAATTGTAAGAAAGCGAAATGTTTAAATAGAAATCCCATTGTTTTAGCTTTTGTTGATATTTGAAGACTTCTGAAATATGTTAAGACATATGTAAATGAATGGAAGTTCGCTTTTGTGTAGAAATTGTACCAAAGGTAGAGAAATTGTATGAAAGTAAAATATGTAAATAGATCAATGTTAATTGAAATGAATTGTTGTGACTAATCGAATCTAAGACTTAGTTATAGACTTTCTAAAATAAACGAACGCGAAAGAAGCTGTGTGTACAATCGAAACTGGTTTTGTCCAGTCGGATTTAACTGCATCCGAGGCTGTGCGAAATAATCGTAGGGTATGGATTTTTCTCTGCGCTGATGATGATGGTTTAAAATGCAAAACATACCCAGAAGAGGACATTGAATCCGAAGATCATGTACTTCAAGCACCCGCTGACTTCGCTCGTCTCCCTTCTGTACTTCCTCACAGGCATACTCGGAATATTAACAGCTGCCATCGCGGTTCACTTTCCAAGGGGCCCCCCTAAAGATTTCGGTGTGGGAAGAGAAGCCACCGCGGTCGTCGTCTCTTCAGCGAACACGTCGCATCGTTTCCACCAAATCCACGTCCTTGACCGAATCCGCAGAGCACAGCAGAAACACAATCGATGATCAATTTCGAGAGATATATAATGGTTAAGAGTGGACCGAACAAGAGCGCTAGCTGTATTTCTGGGACAACAAACAACCTGCTTATTGTTTGACCCCAAACTGACAGACAGGTAGAAAGAGAAAGGCTCCGAGCTGCGTGGGAAGATCATATGGTCGATGCGGATAAAGCAGTGACCAGGCCTCACCAGGAGGTGCTGCCGCCGCACGGCCTGCACAAGAACTTCCATCCTTCGAACACATCCTCATCCCATACATTCCCACTGCTTAATTAGAAATAAAAGCAAAAAAAACGGCAGCAACAGCAGGAAGAATTAATAATTTCCTGCGCCACGCAATCTCCTCTTTTTTTTCTAAACTTCGTTCACCTCATGCGGCGCAATTATTAATTAAGACTTAATTAAGTTCTACTGATTGCATCCTCCGAAAATAACTACGTATTACCAAAAAAAAGCAGAGAGAAGAAAAAATGATTAGCGATACTCCGGTATTGGGTGTTATTGATTGAACGCTCTGAAGAGTGGGTGCGAATGTGGGGATTTAAAGTGTGGGCGGCAATGTTGGACCGTTAATGAAACGGGAATTTCCTATCTTCCCATTCATGCGAAAACGCTCGGTTTTCCGTTGCATTTGGATCGTAGAATTCGGGTCACTTTCCGCTGTGTTTCTTCCTACGTCCTCATTCCTCGGATCCCATCAGGAAATGTATATTGTAATTTTATGAATCCTATAGCTAAAGCCAATATACGAAATTCCCGATACGAAATTGAATGAAAAAAAGAAAAAACAGAAATAGAGAAGTTGCACAGGCGGTTTCATCAAAGTGCAATTTAGGATTATTGGTATAAAAACGCAATCGAAAATCCTGTATATTCGTGAAATTCTAGGAGCAATTACATCAAAATTAACTGGATATTTTTGTTTACTTATAATTTTGTACTCACACTTAAAGTTTACGTTATTAATTAATTGAAAATCCTAATTAGTAAAGATCACTACGTAATATTAAGTGTACTATAATATTAAAGTTTAGGCCTTTAAAGCAATTGAAAATCCTGTAAATCCATGGTAAGTTATAAATCCTATAAAATTTTAACTAAATTTGTTAATTATTCAATTACACATATGTTTTCAACTAGAATTCTTGTATAATTGTAGTACACTTATCTCTAATGATCTTATCCTCATAAGTTATGGAAATTTCAATCAATATTAGGTAACAGTGAGTGGAGATCAATTACATCACTTGGTTTATTGAACACTGTGTCCATCATCGAAGGCATTAATTAACATGTTCAAAGTGGACTACTACGCTGCATTGAGTCATGTAAGATCGAACACACCGAACAGATAATACATACAGTGAATTAATTGCGTTCGATAACGCTGAACTTGCACTCCATTAAATCTGCCTTTCAACAATAATCATTCTGTAATTGTTCATCACAAAATATTCACTCTCGCTAATTAACAAAATCTAGATCCCACATAGTGCGACGTCTCGGACTGTTTGAAACCTGACTAATTGAGGACTTTAAAAACTGCACAAAAAAAGATTATGTCAAATTAAAAAAAAAAACAATTTTTGTTAATTTTGTTAATTTATTTTGTCAAATTAAAAAAAAAATATATTTTTTTAAAATTTTCATACAGAAATATACTGAATCCGGTTTGATGTGTTTCATATTTAAGTAAAATTTATCTAATCCTAAAATTATTACATTTTTATTATATTTTCTTTCAACAATAATCATTCTGTAATTGTTCATTAGAAAATATTTACTCTCACTAATTAACAAAATTTAGATCTCGCACAGCGTGATATCTCGGACTGTTTGAAACCGGACTAATCGAGGACTTTTAAAAACTGCACAAAGAGAGATTTGACTGAATAGAGCAAGAAAATTGATCATTTTTATGTATAAAAACGTAATTTTGTTAATTAAATAAAATTAAAAAAGCCGCACTATGAGAGGCACTGCTGTGTTTCATATTTAAGTAAAATTTATCTAATCCTAAAATAATTACACTTTTATTATATATTTTTTCAACAATAATCATTCTGTAATTGTTCATCAGAAAATATTTACTCTTACTAATTAACACAATTTAGATCCCGTATAGTGCGACGTCTCGAACTGTTTGAAACCGGACTAATCGAGGACTTTGAAAACTGCGCAAACAGAGATTTGACTGAATAGAGCAAGAAAATTGATAATTTATGTATAAAAAAGAAATTTTCTAAATTTATTTTTCCAAATTAAAAAGATAAATTTTATCTTAAATTTTCACGGAGAAATATAACAAATCCGGACTGACCGAAGCCGCACTATGCGAAGCACTGCTGTGCTCGATATTTACTCTCACTAATTAACAAAATTTAGATCCCGCATAGTGCGACGTCTCGGACTGTTTGAAACCGGACTAATCGAGAACTTTTAAAACTATTTTTTTTTAATTTTCATATAGAAATATAGCGAATCCGCACTGTCCGAAGCCGCACTATGCGAGGCACTGCTGTGTTTCATATTTAAGTAAAATTTATCTAATCCCAAAATAATGACATTTTTATTATACTTTTTTTGAATTAACAAAATTTAGATCCAGCACAGTTCGACATCTCGGACTGTTTGAAACCGGACTAATCGAGGACTTTAAAAAATATTTTTTTTTAAATTTTCATATAGGAATATAGCGAATCCGCACTGACTGAAGCCGCACTATGGGAAGTACTGCTGTGCTCCATATTTACTCTCACTAATTAACAAAATTTAAATCCCGCACAGTGCGACGTCTCGGACTGTTTGAAACCGGACTAATCGAGGACTTTAAAAACTATTTTTTTTTTTATTTTCATACAGGAATATAGCGAATCCGGACTGACTGAAGCTGCACTATGCGAAGCACTGCTCTGTTTCATATTCAAGTAAAGAAAAAACGTGATTTGTTTTTTTATTATCACATCTATGTTACAGCATAATAGACAACAAGTTGTGGTCACTTAATTCACTTGGTGCATTGAACGTTACGTCAATCATACAGTGTAACAATTAACGTTTTGCATAATTACCACGTTCAAAGTGGACAATAATGATGTATTGATTTACACCAAATTTAACATAGCACAGATATTATACATTTAATTACATAATTAATTATGTACAATCTTTGAAGTATATTTTCACAAAAACTAAAGTTTTTACAAAAGTAAAGTTTAAAATTGTTCATATAATACATGCAGTATATTTCAAAGCAATTTAACATAAATAATATGAACTTATTTCCTCGTTTGAGATTAAAATATAATTAATTAATATCCATATTAATGTAACAATGAAAATCGTTTATATAAATTTTACATTGTATTAGAATTGCATGAGGTCAAAATCGTAATTAATCGCTGTAGTTATTGAATAATTTGCAGAAATCTGATATCATGTATTCTGCAGCGATTCATTGTTTCGTAGGAATTGATTCGTAAGCTTTTCAGGCTTAGTATCAAAGCCGGTACATGAATAATTCCTGCAACGTCCACTTATTATTCATGTTCTCGGTATTAACTTTGCATAAATATCGCTTCATGATTTCTTCTCTTCGTTTTTCCGACCACCACCATCAGAGTATTATCCATTCTTGGATACGCTTTGTGCACGGTTTATTCATTTTACCGTCGTGCATCGATTGCACTTGGAGTAACACTACGCAAAGTGAATGTAATACGCTTAAAGGATTCATGAAAATAATAAAACAGTTTCAATATGAAAGTTCATTGTATCAATTCTTACTATTAATATTGAATTCAAAGTTGAGATGTCATTGTTACAATAAACCACCAACAATATTCTAATAATCTCAGTAAAACAGAAAATATCATCCAGTAATCTAGTGATTCAAATCAGCTTTTATGGCGATCTAGTTCTCTCCGTCTCTTAATCTCAATTCTCTCCAACTGAATGCTGAATTCTGAATGCCAATCAATCTCTCTGCTGATCAACCGGCTGAAGTGTTCCACTCCCACTCGTTCGGGGAATACCTTTCTTCCCTGAAGTCCCTGAAGATGTGATGCAAAGATATTCGTCCTTGCTCTCCAAAGTGCTGGCAATGATATTTGATCAGATGAGGTTGTTCACACGCTCCAGCAGGTGATGTTGTTTTACGTACTTCGACATCTTTTTTGACCTATTGACCTAAGTTTTTCAGTTTTCATTTATCTATTTAATGGACAGATTCAATGTTTTGAATAATAATTGAACTACAAGAATTGTTGATAATATTTTGTTAAAATCAGTGTGTATTAATTTTGACCTATTGACCTAAGTTTTTCAGTCTTCATTTATATATTTAATGGACAATGCATGCAATAATTGCACTTTGTAAGATTTTACTTAAGAAATTCATGAAAATCTTTCCTTTCCATAATTTATTTGGATTTTTTTATATTAAATGTGTTGTACGTGACTTGTTTTGGTTAGACTATATACAACAGTTAAACGTTATTGAAGTATACCGATGTTATTTCTTCATTTGGTGGATGAGAAAAAAAGCCTTTTCTCTCTTTTTTTGCTTCTTCCAGATTCATTCTCATTTCGGTATAGTACATTGCACTTAGTAGAAACGAATCCGGGGGACACTGGCATCATAACATCAAGAATTGAGGCATTCCCATTCCGTCCGAGCGTCTCGAGATTAGGGAACGTCTTCACGGGACGAATTTATGGAGCACTTGCTTACGTCCGATAGGAAACAAGATTGATTGGGACAAAGTTGTGTCGTTTCCTTTCTCTCCGAACTGCACTTCTTTAAAGTCTCAACAAAATGCTAATGAAATTGCGCCCAAGCATTGTTATCAGAATTTTGTAGTGTCTTCGTGAACGTCCTCTGTTGAATACGTAATAATCCTCAACCATACAAAAAACCTAATTTTATACACAACTACGAACTTCACACAACTTGTGTCTGTTTTCAACAAAGACAATTTTCAATATTGTTTTACATTTGATCAAATGTACCAATTATATATAAATTATACTAGTTTTTTTGACAAACTTTATAACCAAATTCAAAATAACTTAATACAATGTAAAACATTGCAAACTAGAAGATTGTAGTTAATTTGCCTCAAT